CAAAGATAAAGAAACGTTGGCAATATACAAGGCAATTGGCCGGCCGATTCTAAACTATGCAGAGTCCGTGTTGTCGCCTGGGACTTGCAGGACGCAGTGGATGAAGCTACAGACTTGCCAGAACACGACACTAAGCACAGCAACTGGATGCCTCCTGATGACGCCCCAACAGCACCTACACGACGAGACCCAGATGCTCCCAGTCAAGGAGCATAATACAATGCTCTGCAAACAGTTCCTTGTGGGGAGCCACAGACGTGGTCATCCCAGCAAACAGCTGCTTGCAGAACAGCCCTCGTCAAGGCACGTCAGGAGGTTTATTAACCAACCCCTGAACCCTTCAACCTACCGACAGGCCCTGAACGGCATTCACACAACCACCGGACGTGGACGGGACAGGACTTTGTTTGCCTCGGGAGACCCGCACTACAATAGCCCAACTTCGCTCTGGCTATTGCAGCAGGCTAAACTCTTACCCGAGCAGAATCAATGAGGATGTGCCCAACATTGCCCGGCATGTGGAGAGTCGCCACATGACTCGGCACCTCTTCACATGCCCTGAGAACCCCACTCAGCTGACGCCCCTGTCCCTATGGACATACCCTGTGAAAGTCGCACACTTCCTGGGCCTCCCCCTACCTGAAATGGATGACAACGTTGACGGATGAACCGACCGGGGTGGGGCTTAGTAGCCGCTACAACAACAGCAACAAGAGATTTTGTTTAATTGCTTTTAATCTACTTTATGCACGATCTAACTAAAGTACAATTGACGAATCAATTGGCTCAATTAAAGAACTCGTCTTACGACTCGTGACAAATCATTTTAATTTATCGATAAAAATGAAAGGACTAGCGGCCGCTGTGGTGTAGTGGTAAGCAGGACCTGGGTTCAAGCCCTGGTCAAAGCAACAACGCAAAAAATGTAGAAAAAAGGTTTTTTCTTAACAGCGGTCGCTCCTCGGTAGGCAATGGTAAACCTCCGAGAGTATTTGCCATGAAAAACAGCTTCTTATAAAAATACAATCGCCGTTCGGACTCGGCGTAAAATTGTAGGTCCCTCCCCATTGTGTGACAACATCAAGGCGCACGCCACAAGTCGGAGGAGAAGCTCGGCCAAGCAATAACATATGTCTAAGCGCCAATCTGTTATTATTACTATTATAATACATATATTTTAGACAGTGGCGGCAACAACCGGCTGTAGCTTCAGGCGCTAAACGGTTAAGTAGTATATCAAGCAACATTGATGGGCCTTCAACAAGTATTTCTAAAAGTCTTATAAGCAGGGTACGGATTTTATGGAAATTGCCTTTTTTCGGCTAAAGAGATAGAGTATATTCGATTAAGAATTTCCACGATTTAGCATTCCCTGATTCCATAAATACACATTTGATGTTGCCTTTTTTAAGATATTTGCCTTTTTTGCCTATTATCCCGTTAATAAGTGATTATAGCGAGGAAAAAGCCCTTATTTCTGATAATGTAAAAGTTTCAAAAGTTCCATATTTAAATTGGGCGCCACTTATATTAACTCATGTCGAGCGCACGTTGAGTACATTCAAGGCTGTGTTAAAGCCTGTTTTGTTACAAAAAAATAAAGTTGACAATGAAGAAAATCTATGGATATATAAAGAAGTAATAAGTAGTCATATGAAAATGCGCAAAGATTTTGTACGCAAAAGTAGCAGGAAATAATGTTACTCATACGCCATGCACACCTGCAAATATATCGAAAACTTATCCATAGAATTAAATTTTACTTTTTTCTCATTCTTTTTAAAAAAGGTAAAAAAAATACAAAGTAGTGGCCCCACTGTGGTCGTTTTAGTTTGTTAGAGAACTGAATGAGCGTTATCTCTGCATCCACGAAGAAAACTTGTGGACAATCTTGTACAAAGGTTCCCAAACTTTTTTTCGCGTACATCCCTTTCAAAACTTTACTGGTTTCGGTGGACCCCCTGCTGCTGCATTTCTAACATATTCCCAAAGCTCGTAAAAAAATGTAAGGTTAGATCTAACGATGTAAAATGCACCACAAGTGAGTACTAAAACAGAATTCGGAGTGGCGAAAATAATAATAAAATGTTTTCTTGTGTTCAATTTATTTAAATAAAGTGATTACACACAAGTTGCAAGAAAATTAACTGAGCTCGTAAAGTCATCACAGTACTCGCTCGCTCCGGGGAGCTATATTTTTTAATATCACTCCGAGCGCTATCGTTATTTACATTTTCTTCACCATAAACTCCTGACACGTTTGGTTCACTCATGAATTCGCATCTGGCGTGTTTGTAAAATAGTTTATTTTTTTTATGGCATCATTTTTGGTTTTATAGCTCTCGAGTTTAAAAGTGATGCGAAAAATGTTTCTCACTCACATTTTTAAAACACAAAATTTGAAACAAAATCGCAAAGCTTTTTACGCCAAACTTTAAATTCAGGGGATAGATACATAGATTGTTAGAGGCTGTGCACTGCGACCNCCAGTCCCAATGCTCTGATGTATCCGAGCAGTTTCGAGGGTGGTAGAGAGTGTATATGCCTAGCCTCTGGCCACATCCTTCCCAGGTGTGTTAGCCTTCTTCTCGCAATCGCATCGCATTTAAATAGGGGATGCCGCGAGGTTTCTGTTGTCATGTCGCAGTACCGACACAAATAGTCTGCACTGATCCCCAGGTTATGCATATGGGTCCGCAGTCTGCAGTGCCCCGTTAGCATTCCTGTTAAGAATCTCAGGTTAGTCTTTTTAAGGGTTATTAGTTCCCTAGATCTTTTGGGATTATATCCTCTAAGAAGTTCTTTCGCCTGCCTTAGCCCAGGCGTGTTCTCCTAATGTGCTCCTTTTAGCCTTCGCTCTTCTGCTCTTACTCCTCCTTGATTGTATGAGGCACCAATGCAAGGAAGGGTTCAGAATTATTCCCGCACAAACACTTATGGTGTAAACCTCCGCTTGAAATATACTGGCGTAGTTTCCCAGGGGATGGAGATCTTAGCCCTAGGGCCAAATATTCCAGCTCCTATCCCTTCGTCGGTTTTTGAGCCATCGGTGAACCGCCTTTCGGTGTGAGCCCTGAAGGTGTTTTCTAAGATTGTCTCATTTCAGGTCAGATTCAGAAATTCAGAAACTGACAATAGAGAAAAGACCAAATCTAGAAAAGTCGATGACAAACAATCAAACAAGAGCTAACAAAGCAAGAAGCACAAAAAGTGTTCCACCGTCCCATCCTCTTCAAGGCAGGATGGGTAAATGGAGTTGTTATTTACGCCTATCACAGTCAGGTGTTTGACCCATGTGAAGTGATCAGTCAGCAGTCCAATAAGTTGTCTGGAGTCCCGACTACTCGATGAAAGCGAAAATCTATATAGACCATTTTAGATTGAAGCCCACATGAGTTTTGCATCCCCTCGATCCCTGCCAGTCATTGCTGAGCGAAGTAGTCACCTAGTTGCTGATAGTGGTTTCGATGGCGGATCGAGGAATGCCTGGTCTAAGCCGACTGTGGCCAAAGGGTCAGATGTCTCATTACCAGGTATTCCAGAATGAAATGGCATCCAGAGTAAAGTAAGCTCGTTATGTTTACCAAAATAATTTAGCCGAGACTTGCATTGCTGAACTAGTTTGGAAGTACTTAGATAGCCAAGTGCAGCTTGTCTATCACTGTAGACACGTAAACTCTTTCCCTTCCACCTATTTCCCACCACGTAGTTCATGGCTTTGAGGATTGCAAATACCTCAGCCTGGAAGACCGAAGCATATTCCCCAAGAGAAAAGTAAATCTTATCCACATTTACTTCAAGACCGCAGATCCTGACCATGAGTTAGTGTTGGAGCCATCGGTGAAGATTCGACAATGTATGAGTCCAGGCTCAAAGCTGGAATTAAACCAGCATTCAGCCTCAGGGAACTCGACATAATAGAGTCTCTTCAGCAAAGGTAATGGTGGCGTAATATCCTTTAGCATTGAAAGCACCAGAGCACAATACACCATTCTAAAAATTTAATTAAAAAATTAAGTTAAAAAAGAGGCTATGAAGCCACCATTTTGGTTGTTTAATATCGAAACCAGATAATTTTCGTGGACCCCTATATTTTTTTCGCGCCAACGTAGACCCCCATCGATTCTCCCGTGGACCCCTGGAGGTCCACGCGGACAACTTTGGGAATCACTGACTAGTAGATGCACCGAACAGCCGAAAAGTTGAAAATATGTTGAGCTTATTCTGCTGATTGGCATATAAACTATTTAAATGACTTAAAATTCAGTTTTCTCAAACAATCCTTAAAGTACTCACACTCCTTTGATTATAAATGTCCAGATTATACAACACAAAAACTATCGCAACCGTCAATTCTTGATAACTGTCCTCTCAGCATGTTCCGGAAAAACATCGTAAGCGCCATTTTACATTTAGAAAATAAACTGTGGAAAAAGTAAATAGTCCTATTAGAAAGCTAGCATTCAATAATGTTGTTGCCCATTTAAATCTAATTAAATTTTTGCACTGTTTAAGAATGAATTAAAAAAAAACTCGTGTAAAATTTACCTTTTGTCGCTTACGATGAAATCACAAATAGGGGTCTATATATGAATCACCTAATACTAAGTGTTATATTACACAGCATGTACTTGAAAATATGAAATACATATATGAAAATATGAAATATGAAATACTTTATTCTATTATCCCGGATTTCCACTGGGTATTAAATACAAAATTTTAATGACAAATTTCGGAATTTAAAAATGTGTTTCTGTGCCATCAGGTTAACAAAACTAGTCATTAGCTTAGATTTCCCATGGCAATATTTTTTAAATCCAACTCATAATGAGAATTCGCGTGTAAAACGATTTNCTTTATTCTATTATCCCGGATTTCCACTGGGTATTAAATACCAAAATTTTAATGACAAATTTCGGAATTTAAAAATGTGTTTCTGTGCCATCAGGTTAACAAAACTAGTCATTAGCTTAGATTTCCCATGGTAATATTTTTTAAATCCAACTCATAATGAGAATTCGCGTGTAAAACGATTTAAGTTTTTAAAGCGAAATAAACGTTCACGCTTAACTTCTTTCCGCTTATATATTTTGATTTAACTTTTTAGTTGTTATGGATGTGAAAAATCTCTCAGAGGACCGAAGTAAAATTGCATTGGATTGGAACGAAACGGCTATAAGAGATAACAACGAGTTGAATAAATCACTAACATCTTCTCCACGGGAACTTAGAAGCATTTTGGATTTCTTAGGAGCACAACAGTTTGAAATGTTATCTGCATTAAATGTAAAAAGCATTCAACAATTACTGAATATACCACTAAGAAAATTACTTGAAATTAAACTGAGTAACGAGCAATTGCAGTTACTTAAAGCGGTTTTGGAAAAGGAAATGTGTATTGTTCCAAAGTCATTGGAATTATCTGCGGACGAAATGAGATCGCTGAAATCAATTGCACAACAATTGGAAAAAATTGACGCCAATGACGATGATGATGATCGACCCTTGGTTATAGACGAAAGCATTTTCAATGTGGAGGAGGTTAATAATTGGTTATATAAATTTACTTGTTAATAAAGTTTTTCTTATGTTCTAGAATATAACATTAAATTCCGACAATGAACGAAGTCTTGATGAAATCGAGGAATGTTTTTCTAAAATTAAAAATGTCAAGATCCCTCAATCCCAAGCTGCCTTAAAGGGAGTAAAATCAGAGCTCACAGAAATTATAGCCGAATTGAATGGGAAAGAGGACAAATTACTACGTCAACTACAGCATGATAAACCGGCACCCGATACTGTAAACAATGCTACCGGTGTTGGCACTGAAGAGGTCGTCACCACTACCAGTAAGGAACAGCCGAGTAATAAACTTCATAATATCGATGTTCAACAAATTGATCTAACTGAGACTGTTAAAATAGAAAAGCCTGCTAAACGGACAAATGGCTCGCGGACTGCTAAACGTCGACGTAAACTAAACAAAAATAGGAACATAAAACCAACTGCCAAAGTCACGAATAAAGCATCTGGCGATAATACTACTTTTGATCTAAACTTAAATTCAAACGAAACATCTCTTACACAATCTTTAGAGGGATCGTGTAAAACAAGTCAACCGTCCTCGGAGATATCCGCATTGGGTATCATTTCTCAAAGTACAATTTCTGATATTACAACTTCTGTGAATAACGCGAATCCAATGCTAATGCTAGATTCGAAAGTATCTCAAATGTCTCCACCGTTTTCAGGAAGTCAGGGGATTTTTTTTATTAATCCGAAATCTGTAGTTATTATGCACGAAGATCTTGCAAAAGCTACCAACATAATAAATAATTCTATTGCACAACCGTTTAATAAGCGTTTACAAAAGCCGCAATTCAATCTTAGTGCTAATGAGAGCGCTGTACTTGTAGATGTGTCCGAGTCCAACTCCATGAAGAGTTCCCCAAATCATCTTTTTGCAACATCCAATATGACTGCGATTACTGCTGTACCTCTAACTCCAATGCACTCTGACGACTCAAAGACCTTATCAAAGGAATTCGTAAACAGTAAATTGCAAACCACGAGTAAGCCTTCAAAATCATTTTCAGCGGCACCATTACAACAAAAGCTGCAACCGACGGTATTGATCAAGAAGCTGCCAACTCCACTAAGAAAGAAGGAATACAATGTGGATGCAGATAGTACTACGGCAAGCATTGATCTTCGGTCTTCTAAAGCAACGAAAATGGAGCAAATTGACGAAAGAAAGTTATCATGCCCAGCATTAGGCGTTAAAAAAAGCAAGGCGGTGAATTATGCTAAGAAATCAAAGAAACGTGTTGTTAAAGTTGTGACTGACGACAGTAATAGTACAAACCAGGAGAAACCTAGTAAATTAAATACAGGTACCAACTATGCTAATCAATAAATGCTAGATTATCTTTCAGATATATCAGACAATTCATGCGTACTTGAGGAGGTGTATGCATCCGAACGTGCACAAAGTACAGAAGTTTGTGAGATTAAGGCAACTAAAACCGATTGCGACCCCATTTCTGTTGAGTGCGATATTATTGAATCCAAACATGGACTAAAGTCAGTTTCGCCGGAATCACCGCTCTTTGAATCCATTAAAAGTACATCGGAAGAATTAGACGAGAGTGGTACAATAAAATATCGTGAAGGAAGTTCCTATTCCAATTTCAGTATGGAAAACCCCGAAAATCAGTCGGAGTCTTCTTACTGCAGTAGTACTCCAAATGGTAAGTATATATAAACACATTATCCCCTTTTTACACAATTTGTCGGATGACTAAAGAACTTGTTAAAAAATTGAAGAAATCGCAATTACAAACAGATTCACAAATCACACTGGTTCCGATTTTCAAATGAAACCACATTAAAAAGAAAATCCTGCGGAAGGAGAATTGTACCCAAGTCGTTAAAAATGGCATTCATGCCTATTCCGTAATTCAAAGGATGCCATCCGCTCGGATGTAATCCGATTTGCGCTGTCATAACAAGCGAGAGTGAAGGATTAGATTCGCGCGAATGGTATCCGTCGATACATGCCTATTCCGGTCCGTTTGCTATGGCAGTGCGAATCGGACTTAGATCCTTGCGGATGGCATCCGTCTGGTACCGTAATGGGCATAATTGAGTCGAAAATCACGAGCGTTCTTTTAGGGCTTATGATACTAATTGTGATTTCATCATGAAAAATGTAAAGTAAAAAGTGAAGACCGGTGCAATAAAGGCAAAACCACCTTATAATAATAATAATCCCAAGGCTTTTTACCCTCCATTCCCGCCCATCCGCACGAGGGGCGCAGTCCGCATTACGTATGGAACCAGTATTTTCAATTTTTGCGCCGAGTCACGATAGGCAGGAGTTTGTTAAGTGTCGAGATCTAAAGCTGATCAGTTACAGAACTAAATTCATCAGCTGATTTTATGTCTTTTAAGTTGCGATCCCGTACGAGTCCGGACTAGTCAGAAATAGTCAGAATCAGTCAGATTTTACTGGAAATCGATCCCGTACTCGGTTCTCTGACTATTGAGAGGACAAAAAAGAGAGTTAATACGGTTCTATCTCTGTCAGACGTTACAAGTTTTACAGCCCTATTCTGTTGCCCTCACAAAAATCATCACACTCACTATTGTGAGGTTTCTGACTATTGTGAGGTTATCCCTATGCTCACAAGAGAAAAACAGCCGATTTTTATTGAGCAAATGTTTTGTTAATTTTCGTTCGCTATCAGTGTCTGTGCCATTTTTTTTGTAACTAAAAGTATATTCAGTAATGGCAGAGTTATTGCTTGTTTTTTCGGCAGTTTCGGAAGAGCTAGAGCAGGCATGGGATTTCATTTCCATACAAACTTTTGCACCAAGGTGTTGATTGCAAACTGTGTGAAGTACTGGAGCTACTCCTGCTTTGTTATTTCTTTTTGAATTCGCCTAGGAAATAAATAAAGTCAGTAATTATCAAAAAAAAAACAGATTGAAAAAATATTTACTTTTCCTGGTGTTCAGCATCCATCTTTTGTATTTATTTTATTTACGAAACAGCTGTTAGACAGCAAAATGCTTTTCACCTCGT